AAAGCATCAATTCTTCAGCGGTCAGCCTTCTTTATGGTCCAGCTCTCACTTCCGTACATTGTGACTGGAATAACTATAGCTTAGACTATGCGGACTTTTGTCAGCAAGGTGATGCCTCTGCTTTTTAAGATGCTGTCTAGGTTTGTCATTGCTTTCCTCTGAAGAAGCAGGCATCTTTTAATTTCAGGGCTGTTGTCACCATCTGCCATGATCATGGAGCCCAAGAAAGTAAAATCTGTCATTCTAGAATCCAGCACATGTTAGCAATTTGGTTTCTAGTTCCTCTGCCCCTTCGAAATCCAGCTTGTACTTCTGGGAGTTCTTGGTCCACATACTGCTGAAGCCTACCTTGTAGGATTTTGAGTATAACCTTGCTAGCGTGTGAAATGAGTGCAATTGTACAGTAGTTGGAACATTCTTTGGCATTGCCCTTCTTTAGGATTGGGATGTAGACTGATCTTTTCCAATCCTCTGGCCGGTGCTGAGTTTTCCAAATCTGCTGGCATATTGAGTGTAGCACCTTAACAACGTAATCTTTTAAGATTTTAAAGAGTTCAACTGGGATGCCATCACCTCCACTGGCCTTGTTGTTAGCTATGCTTTCTAAGCCCCACTTGACTTCACTCTCCAGGATATCTGGCTCAAGGTCAGCAACCATACTACAGTAGTGCCTTGACTTACAACCATAATCCGTTCCAGAAGATGTGCGTAACTTGAAATGGTCGTAAGTCGAATCACCATTTCCCATAGGAATACATTCCCAGCGAAATGTCTTGGGGCTGGGGGGAATAACACAACTTCCCCACACACAGCCAGCCCCAGCAGAACGTGATGGGGATGGGAAGAAATCACTCAAAACCAACCCTACACACACAACCAGCCCCAGCAGAATGCGATGGCCTTGGGGGAAAAAAAAACAACGCACCCCACAGACAGACAGCCCCAGCAGAATGCCATGGGGCTGGGGAAAAAAACACAAAAACACCCTCCACATACACAGAGCCAGTCCAAACGCAATGGGACTGGGGGAAAAACACACCAAAACACAAAAAAATCACAGTACAGGAGGGAAGGCAGTAAAACTGGAAAAAAATAGACCAAAACCAGTTTTGATCTCTTACCTGGTCGGTCTCGTTTCCTGTACAAGGAGGGAAGGCAGTCAAAAAGGAAGATACAGTGGTGCCTCGCTTGATGAGGATAATTTGTTCTGTTGAAATCGCTGTTAAGCGAAATCCTCATCAAGCGAAATGAAAAAGCCCATTGAAATGCATTGAACACCGGTTCAACGCATTCCAATGGGCTAAATACCTCAGCGTCCAGCGAAGATCTTCCATAGGGGTGGCCATTTTCGATACCTGGAAAGCGAGGAATCCATCCTAAATCACAGCGGGCA